TGGTTTAGCCTAGTGACAAGTAGATTCGGAGAAAAGTAAATTCGACTTACGTCGTTTTCCTGGAACCAATTACCGACGTAAGGCGAGGTATACCTGTACTAGTATTTTATGAAATTCACCTGAACACAAACTATAACGTCATCATTCCTGTTATCGTCCTTTTTATGCTTCTCTTTCATATGTCTGCTTAAAGTTTTCTTATACAGTAGAACCTCGATTATCCGGACTAATTGGGGATGAAGGTAGTCCGGATACGGAAAAATCCGGATAATCGAAATAAATACTTTAATTTGTCTTTTAATGATAATACAACACGTTTTCTTTTCGATGACATGTCGGTAATATTAAAAGTGAATACTGTATTTAAATCGTAATCAAATTTTCAAGAAACAAAACGTTCGTATTGAATTTGGACTACTACTGACCAACGCTGACAAACTACCTATTGTTTAAAAGGCCCTCTGGTGGCGCAAGAAGACGGATTTTATAAAATAAAAAGCAGTTGAAACTGCATTTTTATGAATAAAAATTTGACAAACTATTTATCGTTTTATGACGAGTAAAATTTTTTCGTCGCGTTCGCGGCTTTTAAGTAATGCATAAACCTTCGAGGCGCGAGGCCCTTCGGACCGCGAGGCATAGGCGGTGGCCCACGTCGTCCATGCCTTACGCCGCCCTTGGTCATAGAAATGATGTAATTTGAATATAAATTATTTATAAATACGTATGTCAAGTTATATTTTTATTACTACGTAAAATATATTTAAGAGTTTACGACCACTGTGCTGGGTAAAACGTTGTTGAAACAAAAAAAGTTATGCATTCCATCACGTACATAAACAATGTCATAATTCGCCAAGTACGAATCAGCAAATTCGTAAAATTTTTGTTTATTTTGAACAATCCGGATAATCGAAAATCCGGATAATGGAGATCCGGATAATGGAGGTTCTACTGTACTATGTAGAGTATTACTTTGTAGAGTATTAATATTGATGTAAATAAAATAATAAAAATTTAGTAGTCCTTCAATTTTTTATGAGAGCAAAAATCAGTGTTAGATATGTATTATACATATGCAATGCCAAAAAGGTCCAAAATTGAAGAGTGTTTTTAAGTTAATGTTTAAAATGGTTAAAGTTAAAAAACTATATTCAAAGTCCTTATTTTTTTATTATTATTATTGTTTTGTGTAAACTGTTTGAAAATTGTAAAATTTCTATTATATGACTAAAGTATTAGTTTATTAATTTATATTACTATATAAATTAATAAAAATTATTCATAAATAGTATAAATAAAATTTACAATTTTTTTAAAATTCAAATTGAAAAGGTCTTTTTAAGTATCATATTTTTGTATATAATAAATAAAAATACTATTTTTATCAAAAAGCTTATTACATCCAACTTTATTTCTTTTAAATAAACTACTAACTTACTTGTGGTGCATTAGTGAAAGGAATCGGGTCTGAGTCAATTTAAAAATTAAAAAAAAAGTTGAGAGTTGTATATTTTTCTGTAGCCATTTTATTCCTGGTGAATAGCACTCGAAAGGTGAAGTGAGACTGTAAAGACCATGACAAAGTCAATCAGAAATGAAGGTCATATTGACTGTTTTCTTTGATTGTTGTGGTGTTACACATTACATATTCCTTCTGACTAGACAAAATTGTCAACAAAGAATATTATTTGAGCATTTTGCATCACAATAATGCACCTGCTCACAATGCTGTTGTTGCTGGTGAACTTTTGATCAAAAATTCAACAGATATGGTTCTGCAACTCTGTATTCACCTGATGTGGCATTGTGAGTCTTTCCTGTGTTTGTGACTAAAATTTCTTCTTCATGATTATCATTTTGAGTCCAATTGTTGTCATGGAACAAAATTTTCTGCAGCTGCTGAAGGGGTTTCATGAACAACTTTTTTCAATCCTTGAAACATGCTTTAAAACATTCAAAGTAACTTTTAAAGGGATTCATTTGTCAAAATAAATTTTGATGAATGAATAAATTTAAATCTTGCATTTTATTCAACCATTCCTGTTACTTTTTGAATATGGGTAAAGACATATAGAGTTTTAATTAACCACTAAGATAACTCCCAAAAAATGAAAGAAACTAATAGTAAAATAATAATGGTTTACTGCAACTATGATCTATTAATAGGACTTTTCCAGAAGTTACATCAGTATAATGAGAGAGAGATTGAATTAACATATTGGATAAAAAAAAATACTTTCTTTATTTGCATCTGTATACAATAGTTTCTTGTATTTTGGACCTTTTCATTTCTTGTTTTATCTATGAGGGGGTGTTCAAAAAGTATCGGACCTTTATTTTTTTTTGCGTAAACCAATGACGTGCAGGAGGCATCCTTCAGTGGAGATGTGGAGGGGACAGTCATGCATGGTCCTGAATTTTTTCCCACCCACAGGAAACATCAGTCAATGGCAATTGGCCCTATGAGTGAGGATGTGTAGTGATCACTCATTGGATTCCAGTAAGTTGGAAAATGACTGAACAACATGAGCAGCGATATTGCATCAAATTTTGCCAAAAGCTTGGCTATACCCAAGCGGAAACCATTTGCAAGATTCAACAGGCGTTCGGGGACAATGCCATGAGCAACACACAGATAAAGGAATGGTACAACCACTTCAAAGATGGCCACACATCAGTGGACGAACTGCATTCAGGCAGAGCCTCAACAAGTCGAAATGAGACTGGCATTGAGCAAATGCAGACTTTAGTCATGGTGGACTGTTGTATCACAGTCAGAGAACTTGCGAACGAAACAGGAGTAAGCATTGGATCAGTACATTCGATTTTGACTGAGGATTTGAGTATGAAGAGAGTCTCTGCAAAATTTGTGTCTGCTGATTCAGACTTTCGTCTCCAAACACAACATTCCTGTGGTTCGTCACACTCTGTACTCTCCCGACATGGCTCCATGTGACTTTTGGTTATTTCCCAAGCTGAAAATGCCGCTAAAAGGAACCCAATTTGAGTCAAGAAAGACATCATGCGGAATGCAACGGACCGCTGATGGCCATTCCAAAAGATGCATTTTAATAACTGTATTTGTTGTTTAACCTTACAAAATCATCTTATTTTATAATGTCTTAGAGCAAACCACATTCACAAATAAAGAGTCAGCAATGTACTGTAAATATTGCCAAATTGTAAACATGTATATTTACAAGTATGTACTGTACTGTATCGTACCGTACATGTATTTGTAAATTTAGATTACTTCTTTCCTGTATTATATTAAAAACTAAAATTTATTTGTTTGTAAGCTTAAAATAGATTCTTATTAATCATATATTATTAAAAATGCATTTATAAATAAAATACAGAACTGGGAATGGTATTTGTGGTTTAGCCTAGTGACAAGTAAATTCGACTTATGTCGTTTTTCGACTTAAGGCACCTCTCCTGGAACCAATTACTGATGTAAGGCGAGGTATACTTGTACTTTTTATGCATGCTTATTGATGATTTCTAAGAAAACATTTGGCATTATAAATCATCTTTTTTTAATGTTAATTATTGAATTGATGGATATCAAAAAGCATTCTAATGTAGAAGCAATTCACATTTCTTTATAAGTGATAGTCATAACAAAACAAAAAATGATTTCACAACTGTTCGTTTTCCATTGATATTCTATTGTGCTTACAACAACAGAAGTTTTAAATATTTTTAAAATTCCTTTTTTTGGATCCTTCATGTTACTCAGATGAAAAATATTTGATGTTTTTGTTCCCATCTACAAAAAAGACACAATAGAAAAATTTTACAATTTATAAGAATCATCATTTTGGCAAGTCAATTCACAAGGTTAATTAGCTAGCTAGTCGGTAAGATTAGTTAGATAATGCATCCAGTCAAAACATTCTGGGGAGAACACACTACATTAAGAAATCTTTGTATTAAATTCAGTCTAAAATTTAAAAATAATTTATCCATTTTTTAAAGTCCTCAATATCAACTGATAATTTTGGAAGAACAAGTCTATTTTATTAACAATACTTGTTATATCAAACAATAAATTCAGAATGTTGAAACACAAACACATTGAAGATCAGACACTCATTGGCAATACTTTAACAATAGTCACTAACACAAACACACAGCATGTGCAGTAATGAAATCATAAACATATCAATTACAGTCAATGACATTATAGACACAGAATTAACAGAGGTGGCAGCAATGCCTATCTTTAGTTCCAGATTGTAAGAATTCAGAATTGCAGAATTTACAACCAAGAAATTCATTATTATATACCGTGTTTCCCCAAAAATAAGACATCCGCAGAAAATAAGACCTAGCACAGATTTTGCTGAATTGTGAAATATAAGACCTCCCCCTGAAAGTAAGACCTAGCGAAGTTTTTTTAGTCGTAACGGTCATTGACAGATGGTTGAAAGTGTCCGTTAGCTTTTTGAAAGTACAGCCACTGATTGGTCAGCAGACAATTACGCCATACAGCATGATTTGCATAAGACTATGCCTTGGGAATCACAGATTTGCATAATGTTACGGCTGGTGATGGCTAATTGGTTGGCCAGGAATCACGCTACATGACATTTGCATAGTGCTACGGTTCAGTAAGCACTAATTGGCCATCGAGTCCGATGTTGACGCTATAAAAAGGCGACAGTTTGACACACTGGATATACGTCACTCTCGTCTAAGTTTGACTTGGGAATTTTTTGTTCAATAATAAATGTGAATTCTTGTTCCTGGAAAAAATAAGACATTCCCTGAAAATAAGACCTAGTGCACTTTTCAGAGCAAAAATTAATATAAGACACTGTCTTATTTTCGGGGAAACATGGTAGCTACTGTATCTAGTTAGGTATAATAATAATGTGTGTTATATATAGTTTTATTTTGAGAAACTGAAAAAAATTACCATAATTCTGATCTTAAAACAGTGTTATTAATTTTGTTAAAATAATGTGTATATTATTTTTATTTCACAGGTTTATCGGTCCTCTCATTTATTATGATTGCTGCTTTAATATCATGGCATTGTTGCAGAACAAGAGCTAATCGAGCAAAAATGTATTGTAAGTTTTTGTTCTATAATTTAAAGAAATTGAAGTAACTTAGATTTTAAAATATTTTTGATTTATAAATCAAATGTCATAAATCATTCATATTAAATTATTCACGCAACAATATATTAAAGTTACTCAATAAGTGTGAAATCAACAGAAATGTTATGATTCTTATCACAAATTTCAAGCTGTGAAATGTATTTATGGCGAGAAATATATCAAAACAAAGTATTTTTCAATAATAATCAGAGTTTAGCATAATTTCAAAGAGCATATATAAATATGTACACAACAGAGAAAATTTAAGAAACTATCATATATTTAGTGATAAAAATGCAAAGTGTAATATTTTTATTTCCAAAAGTATGTAATATCATGTTTATTCTAAGTTTAACTGATTGACCGTTTTTTTCTTTTTCTTTTAGTTAGTGAATTGGCAACCTTTTTTTTTATTATTAATATCAAATATATTTAAATTTATGTAATTATTTATATTTTAATAATTTGTAAATATTTTTATAATATTGTCTTTGCAAAAATTTAAATTGAAAAATATTTTTAAATTACAGTTTTATTTTCTCAGATTTAATTTGATTAAAAAGAACAGTGTACTATGAATGTGAGATTGCATGAAACTACAGATAAGTGTCTGTCTGTGTATATTTGTATTATATCATCAGAAAGTTTAGGTTGTACTAATATAATTTTTGTTGAACTTGCTTGTATATACATCAGAATTAATGTTTGTGTTTGTATAAAACATTTCAGGTTAAACTATTTTGATAGTTACACTAATAAGTTTCTGACCTAACCAGAAAAAAGCAAACTTGAAAATTGCACAGAAAAAAAGCCTCACTCATATATGTGCACATGGACGAGTTATAAGTTTTTAAAAGACTATAATAAATACAAAGTTCTGTGTATGGGATGGTGATTGTGGCCATTTATTGTCAGTTGTTGTTTGATGGTTCCTCTGTGGGGTTCCTCTTTCATTGTTGCTATTATTAGGGTTAAATAATCCTGTTGTGGTCACATGATGTGCCACAGTCTATATATTTGGTTCTTTCAAATGAAACATAGATTCAGATGTCCAATGCAAATATGTGACTTATTGTACATGTAAGGATTTACAGACACAGTATACTTGCTGCAGGGCCTGAAGAATCTAAGCATAGTCCCCTTCAGTATTCAAGCAACAATCCCAATGGTATGCGAGTTTTGCAATGCCACAAAGAATTGATTGATTTTATATACAGTATGTTTCATTTGAAAGAATCAAATACATATATATTGTAGGTATAGAACCATATGTGACTATCTATCTATCTATCTATCTATCCAGTGGCATCCTCTCTACAGAGGGTTGCATTTGATGAACTATTCCTCTCCATGTTTTTCTATTCCAGGCTTCTCTTAAATCCTTTCCAGTCCAGTCTTTGATGTTATCTCTCCAAGTCTTTCGGGGTCTTCCTCTAGATCTTGTCCCCTCCACCAGTCCCTCAATGACCGTTTTTAGTAGTTGTCCTCCTGATCCTCTAGCCAAATGTCCAGCATATCGTACCTTTCTNATACCCAAGATAGCAGGAACACTGGAATGCGACAAACATAGAATAATAAGTTTAATAAGCCATATGTCAAAAGTTTTAACTAATACTATCTATAGAAGAATAGAACCGAAAATTGAAGCAGAACTAAATGATACACAATTTGGTTTTAGAAAGAACAAAGGAACTAGAGAGGCCATTACATTAATTAGGCTTATTGGAGAAAAAAAAATGATATGTGACTAACATCATAATTTTCAGAGAATAGATTTGAAAATTGGACAAACCGAAACTTTGTCATTTTATATAATCATTTGGAATTTTACATATCTATTTATGGTCCAAATTAAAATATTTTCAATATAATAGGAATACTCTATTGAAAAATTGCAAAATTTAGAGTTAGCTGCTTATGGTTCTAAACCAAACTATGGTCCGCAGGCCGGATTTGGCCTGCGAGGTCAGTTCATTCGACCCGCTGCCACACTGTACCACAAATGAGCTAAAAGGTAATTATTTATATAGAAATATCATAGATTTTAGATAAACTTACTATGTAGAAAAAATTAAAATAAGCATAAGTAAAGTTGCCAAAATTGGTTCAAACAATTTGGCAACTTTTTGCAACTTTGGATATCAGAGCACTTTTTGTGTAAGTATCTGCAATGAAGTTTCTAAGGAAAGCAATTACAAGCTTGCTGCAATGATTGTGTTTGTATTGGTAAATAAATATGTTGGTTGTCTTATTTTTTGTGTATTCAATGTATTGTATTGAACAAAATGGTTGTGGCCCACACTCATCATTCTCTCAGTTATGTGGCCCATTGTGAGAAAAGTTTGATAACCTCTGATCTATGGCAAGTGGTCTATATTCTGACAATCATACAAGTCTAATTCTCCATTCTGCTTTATATTGATTATGTCTCTTGCTTTTAAAATTTAATCAACAATTTTGAGTACTTACAGAACATTAATTAGGAAAATAATGTAAACTATGTTATATATTTTAAATATAAGTTTCATGTTTATAGTTGTTTGAAATGAAAATTTCTGTTCCAGACAATAATGCAGTAGAAACTTGATAATTCATCATGTTCTATATTGTCACTTTGAAAAGGTGTTATTTTTAGAGTATTCTTAGACGGAAATCACAAACTTCCATTAACAATGGTTGTGAAAGTTAAGAAACTAAGAGCACTAAAAAAATTTTAATCAAAAATTATTGCCTGTTGATTATTATGCCAAAAAATGCATGGATGGATCAAGAAATTTTTACAGCTTAGTTTTGTAATGTATTTGTAGTTCAGGTGAAATCATATTTTAAATTTAAAAATTTATCAGAAAAAGTGCTTTTAATTATGGACAATGCATTGAATCCCAACTCATCCATTGAATGTCTTAGAAGTTGATAAAGATATAAAATGCACTTTTCTTCCTCCCAACACAACCACTCTGATTCAGCTGATGGATCAGTGAGTGACTGAAAATTTGAAGCATTGCTACCAGAAAATATTTGTTCAATATTTTATTACTTGTGATATGGGTACAAATTTGGACAAATTTTGGAAACAATACACTATTAAACAAGCCTTTTTCAATATCACCAAAGCATGGAATAATGTTCCAAATGAAACCTTTGTCTCAAAGTTGAAACAAAATTTGGCTATCAGGGGCCATATTCTGGTCACTGTCTCTGGTCTCTTGTCTCTCGCAAGCCGGTAGCTGATTGACTAATCCAAATGATTAGCCAATCAGCGACCGACTTGCGAGAGATGAGAGATCAGAAACAATAACGAGAATATGACCCCTGATGCACTTAACAGAAGTGACAGCAATGAAAACAAACAATGGTTTTCATCGCTGATCAGCAATGTGTAATGACACTTTTCAAATAGAACAGAGTGGTGTAAATGACTGGCTAAATGTGGATAGCTTGGATTTGGGATATGAAATTTTGAATGACAGTGAAATAATAGAATGAGAAATGAAAAAGTGGAGAAAAATGGTGTAGATGACATATCTAGTTTTCAACATTTTAATTGCAAAGAAGTTGAGGAAATGTTATCAAAGTACGTCAAATGGTACAAACAGCAAAATGAAGCAGAAATCCTGAATTTAATTGCAATGCAGCATTTGCACAATTTAGCAATTATGAAAGGATGCAAAAAAAAATAGTTCATAAAAAAAATACCTCTCTAAAAGCTGAAACAAATTTAGCTTGACCAACATAAATACTCTTTTCAGCAAGACTCTGATTTATTTAAACAATGTTTTTCACTTCTTTTAGTAAGTTTGTGTCAGGTTTAACAAGAAGATGCAAATTTTAAGTTCAAAAAAATGTTAGAATATCAGTTATAGGTTAGTTTACATCATCTTGTTAAACCTGAGTCAGACTTATGAAAAGAAGTCCAAATGTTTGTTTAAATAAATCAGTCTTGCTGAAAAAGTATTTAAGGTGTTGTTCAAGCAAAAAATAGTGTAAAAAAATCATGCAATTTTTAAAATGTAATATGTACAGTACATACACACAAAGACAAAAAGAAATTTTATAACATTCTAGCAAGATTAAAGTATTGTGGCAGTATGCCATATATTATGATACAATATACATATTTTATTCTAATCTTTCACTATCCCTTTGATCTTGTATATCTTTTGTTTCCTTATTTGGATTATTTCAGAGCTAACCCTTCCCAGAAAGGGTGTGACAGAAAAGACAATAGAGGGAGAAAAACCTTGAGGGAAAAACTTGTGCTAGCTAAACACTTTTTGGCTGGACACTGGAGAGACAAGAAGTGTAGAAGGAAGGCTCTTGGTTGTATTCAGCAGATGATGAGGGCTTGAGAAAGTGGTATCAGAAATATAAACGCATAAGGACTTTATTCATAAGTGTTATAGGGACGACTTCTCAGAGAACATCCTTTATCATAGACACTTAAGGAGCGATTCAATGAAGAAAAAGAAACTGGCTAAGATGAAAAGGATCGAATCCAAATCGAAGCATCAAAAAAACATTCAAGGCCATTGGATACCCATCCTAAAATTTCTTTTTTTTTCCCCTCTCCTATATATGTGTATATTGTAAGAATTTAGTTATAAGTAGGTTAATATACTAGGTTAAGAACGCGGCCCATGATTGTAAAGTCTCCATACCATCACAATTTGTTATCACCAGAAAATAGAAATTCTGACAGCACCTATTCTGCAAAATAGGTATATATCAGTCTCGCAAATTAAAAGGAACCAAGGGACTTGGGACCTGTAGAAAGTTTTGTTCAAACACAAAAATAAAGTTTTTTCTTGAATAACATACTTTGTGTAAATACTTTTTGCTATGAACATTCACAGTATGTAATGTATTTTCTTTAAGTCATATTCTTAGCTTTAATAAAATGTTTTCCAAAAGTTTTTATGAAAAATAGGTTATAAGTTGTATATTGTGTTTTTAATTATTATTCCTAGAATTTTCTATAATATGTCAATTTCTGTAATTCATCACCTCTTCAGTCCCAATAATGACAAATTACAGTAGACCCCCCTATAATGCTTAGATACATTCCACATTAATCGAATTTTACATTGTAGGAATCATTCAATACATGAGCCAATCGCAGCCCGACACGTGTGAAGTTTACGGACTAAGGCTGTTTCAAAGGTTTTCTTCTATAAAATTAACCAATTCTAGACTAATTCCACTCAAATATTTCCAAAGCACGTATAATTTTTTGGGAATAATCCGTATAAACTATGCTATAAACAAAAAATTGTAGGATTACTTACCGAGTGTGCACCGTCCGACTACGCCGTTGCTCAAGCTTGTTTTTGTCGCAGAACAGCGCACGAAATGGCGGCTGCGATATCTGATAACGAATTTTTCGCAGAAAAATAACTTGACCTTTGGAGACATCATTAATATAAATAATTTTTATGGCCGTTGAATAAGAAATGTTTCTTTCACAAGAAATGTATAAAATTAGTGCTGTATTAGACTTACGG